AATAATTGTTATTTATAATTCTTCCGTATAATGGAAAGACAAGTTGCAAACGGTATACCACAGGAGTATTAGATGGTTCTCGACCATGTGCATAATGTATGACTGAGAATTATATCGGGTAAATTTAGACTTTAAGACATGTTTGTATATAAAATGCATACACTGATACAGAAGCTAAAAGAAATAGAAAATCTCTGTTGCATTTCAAGTGCATGCGTAAATTGGGAAAAAAGGGAACAATATATGTACATATCGGTAGACATGGATTCTTTTTATTTTGCTAAATTTCTTATTCCTTGCATAAACATGATAAATGGAAAGACAATGACAATGACCTTGCTTGCACTAGATTATTTCAAGAGAGGGTGTTTATTCATTTGTGCATGTAGCGACATCTTCTTGCTATTTACTGACAATATTTACCACAACTTTGTATAAGTTTTATATACATGCACATTTCATTTAGATATGATATATTTAATTGATAAGTCTATTTTCAGGACCTCTGATCCATATAGTTTGGCATGTTAGTTAGCGGTGTTCCTTAAGAGCCTGCATTACAAAGTATATCACTGGATTAAGCTCTCTGTCTAAGTGTATTATTAAAGTGCTTTGCATTGACTTAAGGTCATTGTTATGCAAATGGATTCTTTGTGAAATTAAGATTCATAAACAGACAACCTACAAATGTATATCTACATATGAACTGTAAGGCAAGATTATTGAAACTGTCAGCATAAGAAATTATTCAAGCAGCATCCACGGAACATACGTAGTTTATTAGAGATTGAAAATTTTATTTCCATTTGAACCAAACAATTTTCATCAAGATAGCAAAATAACAAAAGAGCACATTAAAATATACCAAACATTGGTACTGATACCTCCTTAGTGGTTTTGTAACACCTTTTTAATCATCTGTACTGCCTACTGAAGAGTCCTGTGTCCAACTTGTCAATTCATTTATACATATGGACGAAACTCACAAGGCCTAGTCAGTTTCTTAAATTATCTTTCATTGTTCAACTTTTATTATTTATTTATTTATTTCTTAATTTGTGTTACTGTTAATTACCAGATTACCACTCTGAATTTTTATACAACAACAAAACTGCATCCTACAGGTTTCATTTATATTCTTATCCACATAACAAAAACCTTGAAACAAGAACAATTCTGTAATACCTTTTTCATTTCAAATACTACAGAATCATAGTTCAATATATCTTTAAGTCTACACTATATGTCATAATTTTTTTTAGAAATTATGAATCACAAACATATAAATTGGATTTACCATGTTATTAAAATTATTTCATACTGGTAAAATTTCCTAAATCTACTATAAATGATACTGGGATGATCCTCAACTAATTTACAGTTCCAAGTAAGAAATGGCCACCACAAGGGACAAAATAGAACCATACGAGAAGAACATACATACAGGTTCTGACAGAAAACACTGTCAAACATTCAAACATACTATCCACACTGATCTGTGTCCACACTTGTATATTAAACAAAATAAAGAGTAATAAAATTGAGAATGGAAAACGGGAAAGTGTCAAATAGACAACATACCGACCAAAGAGCGGAAAACAGGCCAAGGCCACCAATGGGTCTTCAACACAGCGAGAAAATCCCGCACCCGGAGGCGGTCTTCAGCTGGTCTATGGAAACTATGGTCTACGTCAAACTAAACTCCAAAACATATAAATGAACCAAAATAAACAAAAAACATACAAAAATAACAAAGGCCAGAGTTTCTTGACTTGGGACAGGCGCAAAAATGCGGCGGGGTTAAACATGTTTTGTGAGATATCAACCCTCATCCTATACCTCTAGCCAATGTAGAATAAACAAACACAGCAATACGCACAGTAAAACTCAGTTTAAAAGAAGTCCGAGTCCGATGTTAGAAAAGGTAACAGAAGAAACTAAGCAAAATGACAATAATCAACATGAATTATAACAAAGGACTCCTAGCAGTTACTGACATGCCCACTGCAGACCTCAATTAGACTGATTGAAAGATTATGTCTTCATCATATGAAAATCAAGCACAATCCCCCCGTTAGCTGTTTAGTATCATACCATCATAAAATATACGATAAGAACATAACCCGTATCATGCCAACAACTGGTTTTAGAATAAATGTGTTTACTTCCGATGCAAAGACCCTATGAGTAAATCAATATTAATTCGAAGAAAAATGCCATCTTTAATGACCTGACAACAGTATAGTTACTATATCCCTTCTGAATAAGTCTGTTTGAAGGTTTAGTTAGCTTTTGAGGTCAATGACGACATTTTTGTACTTTGTATAGAGTATTACCATAAAAGATTAGATGTGAAATACCTGAACGTGTTACGTAAGTTGTATGAAGGGCCGTTCGGGTCATAATTCATTTTGTTACACGTACGCTAGAGGTACGCGTAACAGGTCGTTCACGTACCCTAGAGGTACACTTAACACTTTGTTCACGTACCAAAAACACTAACAAAAACACAAGGCAACGTTCTAAGAATACTATCTGTTACTGTTATCTAGTTCAAAGCAAATCACAACTGATAACTAAACCATATTCTCTATGTTAGGTTTAGTGATATTCCTTGATGTTTCACTCGAAAAAATGAAAACAACACGTTAAAAATTTCATGCGTCCGAAGTGCTTTTCTAGATTAACCTTCATCAGGAACGCTCAAAGTTGAATATTTGAAAGCCAATGATGTATAAGAACTGAAGCAGTTGAAGAGCTACATGAACAAAAAGGACCTAAACAATAGCTAAATCCGTCTAAGGTCAACTTTGCCTGAGGGAGTTGAAACCTTAGTTTCTCTACACTTTAAAATTTTATAAACTGACAATTTTAGAAAGGACCGTTCTAACGAAGTGATGATTTTCGTGTCTGTATAAAAGATTCTTAGACTGTGTGACAAACACAATGACTGCATCGAATTCTATATAACGAATGTTAAAAAATGCATTTAATCTATTGAACTTGATATAAATATTTAAAGAGGAAACATCAAAGTTCACTCAACTTAAACCTATTAATCGATGAATAACAACGAAGGCGATAGTGATAAGACTTGGAATTTCCTCTAACGGGTAAAATAATGTGTGTCGAAAGAGTAAACAGAATGTTATACATGTATCATTGAAATATGATAATTTCCGTAGGTATGAAACATATTTGAAAGAGAACTTGATTAGATATGATCAGATTCATGTCATGACAAAACGTCCAACCTACATGAAACACAACACAACAATTCATAATTATTTGGTTGACCATTAGTTACCCTATTGTTGTCTATATTCATATTTACAGTTATGAGCAACACACGAGGGTGCCACATGTGGAGCAGGATCTGAGCCTTCCGGAGCACCTGATATCACCCCCAGCTTTTGGTGGGGTTCGTGTTGCTCAGTCTTTAGTTTTCTATGCTGTGTTTTGTGTACTGTTGTTTGTCTTTTCTTTTGAGTCATGGTTTTGTCAGTTTATTTTCGACTTATGAGTTTGAATGTCCCTTCGGTATCTTTCGCCTCTCTTTTTATAAATCTCTTAATCTGTTTTAAAATTATCAAAAGTTTATTACATATGAACACATAATGCATTTCAAAGAAAGAAGAAATGTTCAAGTTTATTGCATCACTGAGTGCGACATATCAACGGAGTTTTACTACGAGAACAACACAAAGAATACCACGAGTGAAGTAGAAACTGTTTACTCTATCAGAGCACCAAAGTAAACACTTTAGTTAACTTTTTAGTTTTTTATGTTGAGTTTCGTGGACTGTGTCCGTCTGTTCGCCATTTTTATATCTTTTTGCAATTGTGTGTCTTACATTATCTTATAGTTTAAATATCTATTGCTATCTACTCCCCTTTTTGTGGAACATTTTTAGAACAAGAATATAATAAGAAGCAGAATTGGGAAAATCAGTAGTGATTTATAAAGGAGGAAAATCCGTAAAAAAGGACATGCCTTGGATTGATTGCTCAGTATTCAGAAGGATTATGTTTGAACAACATATGTTCCTATAGTGTATTTGTGGGAAATTCTAACCTACAATCTTTCTATGCTATCCAATAACATACGTTTTTGAATGTGGCACTGTCATTTTTTCTACTTGATATGTAATCATTTAACAGATACGTTGTTAACTCTTCCTTTCACATACCACAGATTGTCAAAACGCCATATAAGTCCTCAATGTTTTATCCAAAGATTAATATTTAAATTGATAATCTATAAAAATGACATTTGAATGACTTATTTCACTTATTTCACAATGTGCAAAAGGCTTGGAAAATTTAGGGATAACCATTTGCTATTAGCTCATATTTGTATTTGGAAACGGTAACCACGAGCGTGCTGTGGCTACCTCTGGTAGGCTTAAGTTGTTGGTTTCCTCATTGATATTAAACCCTATGTTTACAACATGATCATCTTTAGGATGCACAGTTACAATGATTAACATTTATGCAAATTCTTATTCAAACAACCGATATATACTTGTATTAAAAATATAGAGCTGCGCCATGAGCGCATGATACGACCGTCACCCTTTTAGTTTTTATAATTTTTCAACGAATAAAGTTCTATAACTTTTCAATGTCATATCAAAAATTTATCAAAAAAAAACAAAAGGGAGCTTATTTCAACAGATATAAACAAGTCACCATAGTTTCATGAAAACTGCTCAAGCGTTTTTGAGTTATTGTCTGAAAACTGGAAAATCCTCCCTTTTAATGAATAAAATTTCCTAACTTGGAAACGTAAATTCTAAAATTTATAAAAATCAAAAGAGAGCTTACGTCAATAGATATTGGTAAAAGCGTTTTTGCGTTATTTTCCGAAGTGTTGACGACGGACGACGGACGGGTGGATGGGCGGACGGACGGACAACGGTATACGTTCCGTCTTAGACGGGCGTATAGAAACGCACAATTTAAAACTCATCGTTTTATTCATAATTTAAACAACAACATAAATTTAACATATAGATTTATTGAGAATCAATATAGAGATGATAATCTCAAGTAAAACGAATTTAAAGACATATTTTTGTAAATCACTGAAACAAAATGAATAAATGATATTTTGTAACAGTTATAAATGTATTTGTTTTGTAAGTCTATAAAATTACACATCATCACTTTTCTAACATGCACTTGTATTTATAGTTCAGAAATAAACAAAGCAATATTAGGTGAAACTTCTTAAAATATAATATGCATAATAAAGTTTTTTTAATGAAAATTAACCCATTATAAATCTGACCACAATTTAAGAAGGAGTACCGAACACTGGAATGATTGGTGCCGGTGTTAGCTGGCAAGGATTCTGAAAAATAAACATTGTAAAATTATCCTTTTGACATCTTTCACAAGTAGTTATAGTAATATAGCATTTTTCTTCAAATATTTGTATTTCATTATTGTTTTATTCTTTACACTGTTATCAGTAATTAGAATCGAGATCTATGAAACATTTTGGTACATTTCATTGTAAGTTTAGGTAATACTGGCAATATCGGTCAGGATTTTGAAGCAGTTTCTGCAATTCTGCCCTTATATTTCAAGTTACGAAACTTCAAAATAATTTTATTCTCCAAGACATTGTTTTAAAGTTTTGTTTTAGTGGTATTTTGTTTTCTTTGATCGAGTCGAATTAGGGACAGGTGGTGCCTGACCATCGCCAACAACTCGTCAATAATTATCTGTATAATTTATTTTTTGTCTATTCATTTATAAATTTTGAGTTGATGGCAAATCTTCGATACTCTTTGTTGAGTTCACAATTTGTTAAGAATCGGGGATATGTAAAGCTTGACAGATGTCTATCATGACAGACCTTTTGTTGATATGTGCATGCTTATTTCGGTATTATCTGGTTACTGGGTTTATAAAATTCTTCAGTTACATTCTTAAAATGTATACATATTTTGTCTAGAAATCTATAGATATATTATTTGCTATTCCTTTTTCCTTTTACAGAAGAAACATAGTTAATGATAATTCAGGCCGTTGGTTTTCTTTTCTCCTTTTGATTATTTCTCATGTTTGTCATACCAGGACCCTTTATTGCTTGCTATACAATGAGTTTTGCTCATGGTTAAAGGCTGTAGTTAACGGCAAGTTGTTTACATCCTCGTCCTTTGATTTCGGTAGATATCTGTTTCATCGGCCATCATACCACATCGTTTTATTTTCATATGTTTTAAAATCAAAATCATGTGAGATTTCAGTACCTTTGTTGTGTCCTATTGACCTTGCCATTACACACACGACAAATGCTACTAAATGGGCAGAAACTGCCTACCTTGCCATGACCAACACGACAGATGCCACTAGTTGGGCAGAAACTGCCTTTCCTGCCATGACCAACACCACAGGTGCCACTACTTGGGCATAATTTAACATCCTACTTTGCCAAAGAACTTGTGTTTACCACTTTTTGATTTTGATTGTCCCTTTTAATCTTCCCTCTGTTTTCCAAGTTATTTTACATTTTTCTACTTACCAGTGCTTCACAAATACACTTTCTTGTAGTGGTAGTACATGTTTTGTATTGAAATTGCCAACCCGACACAGCACTTTCCCTCTCAATATCAACACAGTCTTTTGTAGCAGTATTGGTTCCTGGTGGCAAAAAAATATTGCAATGTTGTTATAATCTTCATTTTCCAAAGCAGAAAAAATGTTTTTAAAAGACAATATTTAGGATGTTCCATGTGAATTCTCTACAATTTCCAGTTAAACACGTCAAGTTATATTGATATCATTTGTAACAGATTTCATAATTAACTTTGTGATCTCTTGTTTATATTGCCTTGATGTTATCCATTGGACACTGAACTTTTTACTGCCCTTTATGCTTCCTAAAAATTGTCACACGCATTTTTAGTAAAATTGTAAATTAACATATTTCTGACTGTCTTGTATACATATAAACATACCAACAGTTGGTCGATTGAAACTTGATCCTGAACCAACAACTACAGTGGTACCTTCCTGTATTCCATCAAAACCTCCTGTCCAGTATGTCTCAGAAGCTTAAAATATAAATATATCACTTGGTCAAAATAATTAGCAAGGTTGAAATGGTCAAAGAACTGTAACAAATGCTTAACTAATACATCATGACCTTGTTTTTTGACAGAAGAAATGTTTCTCCTCTCAAATGATTATATTCAACTACTGAGAGAAATATATATATGTCTCTGATTCAAAACAAGCGCTACTAGAACAATTGTAATTGGTGGTATCAGATCTATGACTGAGACAGTATACACAAACAAGTAGGAACGAACTCCCGCCAAACCACAGTTTTAGTAGACGAGTATATTTACTCTTTTTAGCACAATTGTGTGTTACCTTGTTACAAAGTAGGAAAATGTAAATTCGGATGATGAAATTAATATTTAAACGCTATAACTATATACCATAGTGTATTTGACAAAAAAATCAATGAATGGATTTATAAACTCTTATTTACAGACCAGAGGCAGAAATTAATTCAAACATAAATAAACTATGCACTGTCGGACCCAGGATAGGGCGTAAATGCCGTATACCCCTTTGATCGCCAAACAAATAGATAAAAAAGCTCATGTTTCTCACGATGTATTTGAATCTTTAGCATAAAGTCGTCCAAAACTTTTATCATCACTTTTCTGGAATTACGCCCCCCCCCCCCCACCCCTTCAAAAATCATGGACCCGCCCGAAATCAAGAGATCTTATTCATTAACATTAAAAAGTAACTTATTGGTGGATGAATCGATTAATGGTATTAGAATCACACTAGAAAATGATATGCGCTTGATCCAGACAAACACTATACAGACTATCTAACAGAGACACTTCTTCCTAATTTACCAGCCTACATACTGTTTGCCTAGCGGAGATGTAGCAAATACTTGTTATCAAATTTCTTTTTGTTTGACTCAACACGGGAGGAACCAACGACATCTTGCCCAAGAAGCGACAATTGTTTTTTTTTCAAATCAAATAAAAACAGCTATTCTATTTATAAAAATAAAAAAATGTTCCGTTTTAGACATTCCCTTTTTGGTTTCCTTGCTTCCCATACATTATAAAAGAGTTTGGTTCTAAGTCTTCCGATTAGGATAAATCAAACTTAAGATGAGCTTCAAATTGAGAAAAAGGGTAGTCTACAAAATCATTTATCTCATATATTTAACAATCTTATACCAATTTAAAATGTGATCTTATTCTTACCACCGAGACCATTTAATACTGCTACCACGTTTGCTTCTTCTGCAGCGTCATTAGGTTCCCATAGTGAGGCATTAAGTAACAGGCAAGTCAGCTGTAAAACATATCGACACGTGACATTTTAAGCAAAGCCGTCATGAATACACCTTATCGCTATTTGGAATTCTGTCCCGGCTGACCTGAGAATCTGTCCCGCTTGAACCGTTGACGTCATACAACAATCACTTTTCCATTGTGGCGTCAGATATTTTGTGTTATGACGTCAAAATTTTACGGGAACCTTTGTGATGTCCAGTAATGGCGGACAAATAGCAATAAGGTGTATATGATATATTTTTTAAGAAATACTACAATATCAAAAAGGCAGCTAAATTGCATTTTTTAACTTGGTATGTCCATTTTTTTTGCCTGAGAATACCGTATAATTATCATATATTAAAAATATTTAATATGAATACAGATCATTTGAATATGTTAGTTGGTGCCTGAAACAAATACCCTCTGATTCGGATTCAACGGAAAGCGGCAGGGTCAGTCTAATTTATATACAAGTCTGGTATCTTTGGATAGTTTGTACCGGGAACAGTCTTTGCGGCAAAATGTAAATCCTACAAAGGCGCATTGATTTTCCTCTTATCTATCAGTCTTTGTTTTTGGTTTGACGCGGAAGGAAAATAAACCGACAGCTTCACGCACTCAATGTGACCACGCGAGCACCAAGGCTGTTTTGAACAATTAGATACTATTAGACTTTATATTTTCAATAAACCTACAAACTTCTTTTTCTTTTGAACATATATATGGCAAGTCTTAAAGAGAGATATCAAAGTTTCATAGCGTGTGATGTTGCTTAAAAAAGAAGAAAAAAGAAGTAAATGCATGTATAGTTTCATGATGCTTGTAATAACATGTGACACACATTGCGTGATGTTAGCTTTTGTGCATATTTAAACCAAATTTAAATAATAAAACGATAACACAGAAAGCGTAAATGTTTATGTACCTCAGCTGCAAGCCATGACTCCGAATCTGTAGGACAGATAAAGTAACAGTTCCCAGATCCAAATGGTATCTCCCGGAATCCGTCCGCACATGGCAACCGCTGATTACAATCAACTAAAAGCAAGAAACATTTCAAAGTTTGGTTATGTTACTTTTTTACCAAATTATGTATTCTTAAGAAGAACGAATCAGTTGAAAAAAAAGTATAATTGCTAATATAGATATAGATGCTCTCAAACATTGTTGAATATATTTCATTTTTATTACAATAAACATTATTCAATTATATACACTTCTTGTTTGTTTCATGAGAATGGCATATACTGGATAAACTTATCGATCCTTTTTAAAAATAAACTTATTCTTAAAGGTTACCAATTCAACATTTTAATTAGATCCTTGAATATTGTTTTTATGTGTATAAATATTTTTCATTTTGTTATCAGTTAATTATAAAACTAAATATTAATTGTTATATACATATGCACATTCATGGCTCTACGATCTGTCGATACAAGTATCTAGGCATTGCACAAGGTTATGCTTTTCTTTGTCTGTTAATGACGTCTTTACACTAAATCCATTTGATGTTGGATGTATAAATACCCTGCCACGTCCGGTCTGTGTTTTTGTTAAATGTTTTTCTGTTTTGTATCGATATGATAAGTTGAGCCCTTTTCAACTGATTTTTATAGTTTGTTCTTATGTTGTACTGTTACACCACTGTCGCAGGAATGGGGGAGGGTTTTGCGCCAGCAAACTAGTTTACCCCCGCCACATTCTGTGTGTGTCTGTACCAAGTCAGGAGTCTGTATTTCAGTGGTTGTCGTTTGTTGCTGTATATCATATTTTTTTTGTTCATTGTTTTGTACATAAATCAGGCCGTTAGTTTTCTCGTTTGAATTGTTTTACATTTGTCATTTCGGGTCCTTTTATAGCTGACTATGCGGTATGTGCTTTGCTCATTGTTGAAGGTTGTACGGTGACTTACAGTTGTTAACTCCTATGTCATTTGGTCTCTGGTGCAGAGCTGTCTCATTGGTAATCATATCAAAATTTCTTATTTTTACATCTAATTGTAATTACTTGATTTAGCTCAATGCTGATAGACTTTTTTTTATAAATCAATTGTTAGCGATTCAGATATCATTTATACGAACAGTTTCAATAAAATTCAATGCTTATAAATTTTATCATTTTGATCAAACTAAAGTTCGCACTTCTTTTGCAAATATTTGGATATTCTGACTCATTTAAAAGCTTCTGTACTTCCTTTTCTTTGAATTTGTTTTTGTTCCACAATATTTCGTCCATGCCACGACGGGAGAGTTTATTCAAAGAACCCTTTGTACGCAGTATATTAGGAATTTAGAATATATGAGGTAGATATATGAAAATGAGAGATGTAACACTAAGTTAAACATAATGAAACCAGAAAAGTCAGATATGGGTTTTTGTGATGACGGTTAGATTTCTCAATGATGTGAACCCAATATTTCCTTTTATTCATATTTAGATGTCATTAACAGAAAATTGTTTATGGCATGCTCATAACTGTCCGAAATCTAGCGTACGGACCTTTGAGGACAATAGTTCATCAATGCAAAAAATATTTGATACTACATCTAAGCCAAACAAGATAACATAAAATACGAACTGTTGCATCGAGGTCCACCAAATCCATCCAGACAAGAACATTGTGCTATTCCTAAGGTGCTGACGCTACAATTTCCATCATTACCACAAGGATTGTTTGTACAGGCGTCAACTGTTAATTCGATATACAAATAAGAAAATGTTTTGTAACATGTTTGAGTTGCAATATATAAATATGATTAAACAGGTAATGAAAATAATAACAAAAATCAAGAAAAATTAAACGATCACTTATATTATAGATTTTATTAAAAATTGCTCTTTTACAACTTAAGTTGTAATAATCATTGATTTGTATACAAATATATGAGGGTGTGGATGGGGTTTACAGAATAGAGAATAATGGAAAAATACTAGAGTAATGGACCAAAAAAATACAGCTTACAGAAAAATAGGTTAAAAAAAACAAAAAATAAGTGTTAAAATATAAAGAATAAAGAATGATTGGCTTAAAAAATTAAGAATACAGAATTGAGGGACTCCCAATGTGGACCCGCGTATATTTCCTGACTATGTCCTTAGTATCATAGAAAGTCAACATTGTTATTGATTTTATGATTGCGTTGTTTCTTTAATTGATTTCTATACATTTAGTGAGTTACCCATATAAGCTTCAATGAGCATTCCTATTTGTCTGCTTTAGTTGCAGTAAAGTGTCTTACCTTGGGTTTCACACATAGACCCCATAAAACCCTCAGCACAGCAACACTGAGCAGTCCCATTTGTCGGGCTGACAAGACACGTCCCATTGTTTTGACACATAATTTCATCGCATGGATTTTCTGAAAATATTGTGACACGAATTATAGAATGATAAACGCTGACTCTAGTCAATTCAAATAATAAGATAATGTATTCTGGAAAAGCATACACGATTAACTTGTAGAAGAAAAAACTAAAGTATACAAGATACAAAATATAGCTTACAGTTTGTGATGCATGTAGTGCCAATTGAAATTTAACAGTTTGTACAAACAATTCATTGCAAAAATATGACTGTTTCTTTAATCGTGCAGACTTTTAAAGGACTACTGAGTATTCTTTTTTAAATATTTATGAGATATGAACTCTTTTTAAGTGCATGAAAAGAACGAAAAGATGAGTTAAAGACATTTGAATATGTTTAAAATTATTACCAGTTGACTCCTCTGAAGAACAACACTGTGCTGTACCAGTTGTAGCGTTCACCAAACAAGATCCATTTGTACACATCATGTCGTTGCAAGGATTTTCTATAATAAAAATCATTGATACAAATAACAGATTGATGTTTCATGTTGGTTCTAAAATAAATAAACAAACACAGTTAACTTCGTAGAGAGTTTCATTCAACCAAACTTTTTTTAAATGATTTTTTTAGATACATTTATATAGTCGACTGTTAAAAGAGTGGATCGATATCAGTCATACAAATACAAGACGGAATGACTTCACAACAGTAGTGTACTTTACTTATGACCTCTATCAATAAGTTTGCGACCAACACAAAGATTTGAAGGACAATTCTTAATTTTTTTTTTGCTTTGTAATAGCATTATGTTGTGCTATTACTAATACCAATGTTAATACCAGGGTCCAAATAAGGAACACGAATACTTTTAATACTATATATAGATAGAATGAGTTTAGGTTGATAAATTTTGTTGGTTTATTTGAAATGAGTGTGGATTGTTTAGAGGTAATATATTGTCTAAATATCATCGTTTATTAAGTAAAAAAGTAGTTTGAATTGGCGTTTCGTTGGTTCGTAATAATATAAGAAACCAGTAAATAGTAAGGATACAGAGAGAACCCAGTTACTCAGTTACTTAATATAAAAATAAGGAGATGTGGTATGATTGCCAATAACACAACTATCCACCAGAGTTCAAATGAAGTAGATGTAAGCAATTATAGCCAACCATACGGCCTTCAACAATGGGAAAAGCTATACCATATAGTCGGCTATAAAAGGCACCGACATAAAAAATGTGAAATAATTCGAACGAGAAAACTAACGGCCTACTTTATAACAAAACAATTGACGAAAAACAATTATGACAGACATGAACCAACGACAACCACCGAACTGCAGGTTCCTGGCTTGGGATAGGCACATGAAGAATGTGGTGGGGTTAGACATGCTTGTGAACGCTCAACCCTCCACCTAACCTGGGAAGGTGGTGTAACAGCAAAACATAAGAACAAACTGTAAAAGACAGTTGCAATTGGCTTAACTGAAAATATCTGTATGAAGAACAAAAACAACAAACATAAAAACAATAGACACAACGCACCGATATAAATGTACTCACAGTTACTGAAAGCTATAGTTCATAACCAATTACAGCTAATAAATAAATCATGTTCTCCCTGATGACTAAAGTATCCATCATTGCACATCCAACGGATTTAGGTTAAAGACGTCATGAACAGTCTGAGAAACGTATTCTTTCATGAAAACCTCTTTTAGGCGAATTATACTTAATTACGGGGTACTCATAATATTATGAAATTTCGTATGCATTAAGAATTAGTTGAATGCGTCTGAATATCGAAAAAATGATAATTGTAGCATTTACACCTTTAGAGATACAGTCAATTCAACATTTATGAAATAGATTCATAAGATATAAAAAGTTTACGTTAAAAGCGGCGAAATTTTTTTTTTTTAGGTGAAATTGATTATTCTCGAAATTCCGTGCACAAAATTTTGTTTACAAATGTCATGTTATCGCTGTGAAATCTTCCGTTTAAATGAATTGAAAATATAAGGGGGGACACCGGATTTGTTTATTTTCCAGCGTAACCTCGGAACGTCCGACGTCATGCTGCAAATTTCTTTTTTCTTTTCACTCTAATCTGAATGATTAAGATGGCAAATAAAATCTGGTGACCCCTTAATATTTTCATATCATTAAAACAGAATGTTCTCAGCAATAACATATCATTTTGAAACATATTTCTGAGCCATTTACATGTAGGTTTCCTTCGAAATACGTACCATGCCAAAATGCTCCATAATTGACACTGTCACATTCATGTATTGGTTCCATATCAAATCTTAATTTAAAAACTTACCGTCGCAATGAGTTCCATTCCAGTCTCCGAAACATTGACACATAGGCTCTAGATCTGACCCCAACTTACACATCCCGCCATTAGCACAGTAAAACGAGTCACATGGATCTACAATAGAAAACATACGAATAACTTTGTCATAAAATACGGACATCTGAACAAACTAAAATAGTAAGACATTAAACTGTTTCTCTTTCAGATAAAAAAATGATTTAAAAATGTGTGTAGAAGATGCGTTATGAAAGGAAAATATATATTTCTTTATTATTATTGTTATTAATTGTTCTATTTATCGAATGTTTGTGCTTATCCAGAGCTTTCACAACGAATTGCCCCAATAAAATTTTGTTATTTTTTGATAATTGTTTAACAGTGGCCTCAATATAAGAATACCCAATTGAATCTTTATTTCTCTCTAGTCAATTTTTTTATGTTGCAGATCTTCCAGATCTTCTATCCCCCCCAAAACAGAACAAAATACTGAGAAACTAGACCAAAGCATAAATCAACGAAGTATTACCGAGCTGTTAGTGGAAAACCAATTTAAAGTGCAAATTCCAATTTCAGTTACAAAAAGTTACGGACTAGTAAAAAGTTGGACAGACGACAACCAAAAAACGAACAATTAGTGTTTTAAGGTAATATTATATTTTTAAGCCTAATTATACATACCAGGCACACATTTATAACAAACAGTTAATCTCTCGTTTAAGTTGTTACAAGTGGTATCATTGAATAACTGATCATCGCACGTAAAAGTACAACTAGTCAATCCGTCACAAAGGGCCTTGACCTTTTGTGAAGCATTTGGGTCGCTGCAACGATTATATCGATAATAACGGCTTTTGTACACTGCCCAATTGACATCGATCAAATAGCCGTCGTGACATTCAAGATCTGCTTCTCCTCCTTCAAAGCAGAATTCTGTGTTCTCTATAACAATATAAAGGTTATGATTAAATGGCTGAACAGAGCGAGATTACAATTTTTATATTCTAATAAAATTTTTAAATTGTTTCATCACTATAAGAAACTACGTTTCGTGCTATGAATTTATGTGCGGTATGCGGAATGAATTTGAAAGATTGCGCATTAATCTTATAATGGTTTTTTTTTTATAAGTTGTATAACTATTGCTGGCGATCAGTATATAAGCTAATTGCACGGGTTTTTAGTTACCGAGGAATGGGTAGTGACCACACAAACGTACGTAATATATATAGGTAGAAGTTTATATTTTTTTTTTAAAGATATGAGTTTTTAGATTTTGAATTTCAAATGTATATATGATAATAATATATAAATTGAATGTTGAATCTGGAATCTGGAATTTTAAATGTTATAAGTGTGATGATTTTGAATCTTAGGTTTGATCGTTTACATTAGTTTCAGTTCGGCAGAAGCCTTATTTAATGTATTTAGAAATGAATAAGATGTTTCGCGGGTAAACCTTGGGTCAGGTCAAATGTGAAGGGGTGTTCCAAAGGAAACTGTAATACGAGTAATTAGGCACTTTGGAAGAACATCCCTTCTACAAGAATAGTACAGCTGGCATTGCGGCATATAAGCAGGAGCGATTCCTAGCTCTTTGTCATTCGTCTTATACTACGAAGACGACGGCCATGATACGTACGGTACGTGGTAATTAGAGAAAGGATATTTGCGATCGTTGTCTCTTATATAGTTTCTAAGTGTAATAAAGAACAGGTTGGTGCCTGTTAGTATTCTCTAATATGGAATTGCATTCATGATTGTAATGCAACAAAGGACAAGGTTTAAGACTTGTACGACTTGAAGTTTGTCAAGTATGAAGTTTACCGTACAAGACAAGTGTGTTCACTTGTAGGGTACCACAATGTACCATTAAGACAAGTCGTAGCTTGAAGGGTACCAACATGTATAGGACAAGTATGAGTCTGTGTGACCAACTTGTAAGGTACATAATTGTACCAAGAGAACGAGTGACGTATAGGACAAGTGTGAGTCCCTGTGACCAACTTGTAAGGTACATAATTGTACCAAGAGAACGAGTGGCGTATTGGACAAGTATGAGTCTGTGTGACCAACTTGTAAGGTACATAATTGTACCAAGAGAACGAGTGACGTATTGGACAAGTGTGTTAACTTGTAGGGTACATAATTGTACCAGGAGATTAATTTGTTCCTGACCCAGGACAAATTTGTAATAGTACAAATTTGTACCAGTTGTATATATTTTAAGTAAAATAGTTTAGAGAGCAGTTGTATATATTTTGGTTCATTGACGTTAATTTATGAATAAAGTTAACTTGTTATACATTTTGTTAATAGAATATTTTGGATCCAGTATCAAACTGGTAACGAACTCATTCTAGAATAGAAATAGACACGCTTACCCTGTGTACACGTTACATTAGTTTTATTTTCGAATCTAGAACTTATAAATTTGGAAAATTTAACTTTGAATTCTGACTTAAGAGTCTCGAATAAATCTTTTGGCTTTTTGTGATATAGGTTATAATAACAAAACTTACGGTATTTATAGGTGTCGTCAATATCCCATATATTCCACCAATTATTTCTGTGGCCTGTAATAAAAAAAAACACACTGGTTTATTGACTTAAATTAACATACAGTATTTATGTTGATATCATGATATTGTTTTATGAGTAATGTCGATTCGAAGAAATTGTAAAGTGAACAATTAATGGTCTTTTGACATAGCGCTGTTTAATCTGTTTATTCCGTTTATAAAGATATAAAAAATAAGAGGATAGTAAGGAATAAATCAAAGTCGAAGTTAAAGACGAACAAAAAATTATTGCCGAAAGAATTAAAAAGATGAAAAGACAAACAAAAGTATGCAAAATGAAAACATTAAACGAAAAAAAGACAGAAGAGTGAACAACACAAGCGTCACAACAAAATGGGAGGTAACTCGGTTAATATCCTTTTAACACTTTGTAATCAGCCTTCGTATTCCCTTTATTTCACTGTTTGTATCAATTTTTTTTTTAATTGGATATAAGAAGATGTGGTATGAGTGCCAATGAGACAACTCTCAATCCAAGTCAAAATTTATAAAAGTAAACCATTTAACACTGTTACTTCTCATCAAACTTACAATTAAAAATTCGAAAAAAGAATGCAAGGGAAAACATTATTTTTCCAAACCTTTTTTATCAGTTCCTTAACCCAGATTTATAACTGAAACTATATTTTGATATGACTTCAATGGAGAGGAGATGTGAACTGGTTTACACCAATGCTGAGTTCTGAGAGGAACATGCAATTATTGCCCTGGTTGTTTAGGGGTACATGCAATTATTGCCCTGGTTGTTTAGGGGTATATGTAATTATTGCCCTGGTTGTTTAGGGGTACATGCAATTATAGCCCTGGTTGTTTAGGGGTACATGCAATTATTGCCCTTGTTGTTTATGAGTACATGCAATTATTACCCTGGTTATTTGGGGGTACATGCAATTATTGTCCTGGTTGTTTAGGGTTACATGGAATTATTGTCCTGGTTGTTTAGGGGTACATGCAATTATTGCCCTGGTTGTTTAGAGGTACATGCAATTATTACCCTGGTTGTTTAGGAGTACATGTAATTATTGCCATGGTTTTTTAGGGGGAACATGTAATAATTGCCAACGTTGGTTCCCTTATAATTTACATTCTTGTAATTAGACTCAAGTTAAATGCTAGAAATGACTTTACATTAATACACCTGTAACTGATCTGATATGTACATATCATCGTATATCAACTCCTCTTAAAGGGCAATAACTCGTATACAAACACAATTCAGGACTCACTGTTTGGCTACGATAAATACCTAGAATTTATTTTTGAAAAACTTTATTTGTTATATCTGAGTCTAGCTGCTAGTGAAGCCAGACAAAATAAGCATATGGTGTATCCATTTATTTATCATTGATGGCCTTGTAAACTATAAAACTTACAACAGAAAAGTAAAGATTTAATGCTATGGGATTTAATAAGCACTTTACAGCACAACGAGTTTTTACACGTATGTTTGAATATTGTAAAAACAGTAAATAAACATTTATAACAAAATCATACCTTGACTGCCAGCTAACATTACCGTGAGGACCAATGCTTGTAATACACCCATGATACGTCTTTGTGTAGAGCTGTTTGACTTAGTTGTTACTGGTCTATTTATATGCAAAATAATCACAAACAGTACTCCTGAAGAGACCAATCAAATTCCTTATTATTTACCATTGACCAATCATTATATAATGATCAAATGCGAAGTCATATCTTATTTGTATCCTTAGTACCCATTAACACTAAAGTGCACCAAAGTACGTGTTGGACGCCTCCTGATTACGTTTTATTTGTTATTTTTCAAATTTAGTTGATTCTGTTCATATACTCGACAACAAAAAAGGCAACCATGTAGATATGAAATGTCGAGTTAACTCTACATCGCACTAAGTATTACATACTAAGAATTTCATTTAAGAAATTTTAATATCCAAATCGCCATGAATATGCATGAGATATATGCCACCAGACGTTAAGCAAGCAACAATCAATCAATCAATATACAAAGTATGCACAACTTATTTAAAATGTATGTTAGTGATATATACCCAAAACACATATATTGCAGGAAAGAGAATTGTTTTTAGTTTATTTCAGTTGATCATCTCTTAACAAAAGCAAAAAAGTATGAGAAGACAACAAGAGGGAAATCAAGTCGATTAAAGACAGACAATATCATGGCCAAAAGAAAACACCAGTTTACGAAACATTACACAGAAAACTAAAGATTAAGAGACACGAACCCACAAAAACTAACATCGGGGTTTTTCCCTTTTGTAAATATAAAATGTACATTGCTTAAAAAATACTTATTAATCCGTCAATACAATTGATAAAAATAATTCGAATTCAACTTGGAAGGAAAAAGAATTATGTCAATAAAACTAATATAAATGTCATACTATTTGTATGGAACAGCTGCTAAGATGTTGAGTATATATTGAATAAAACATGTTTCAGATGAATGGTCTTTTTCAGCAAACCACTTGATTTAAGATTATGAAACAAAATTAAAAAAAATGTAAGAAAACAACTTTCAAATGTTTGTACCCGGACATTGATATACCACAGTACCCTGCCTTCGTTTGAACATAAACCATTATTGGTAAGATAAAATCTTTTCCAACTGTTTTCTTTATGTATCAGCTGGGGGTTTTATGATACTGACCGGATAAATTGTAATAACATACTGGAAAAATCTTAAATTTCAAATCACTTATAAATAAGATTATGGTTTAGTGAAAAACAAGTAATAAAATATCGGAAAACACGATCATTAACTTATAATGGATTGCTGGTTCCTTAACATCCTGGGCAAATATTGCAGGTACATATTTTCAGATAAAAACGTTATTTTTAACATTAAGGATAGTCCAGCCAAGTTGTGGTTTAAAGCAAAGAGGATAATGGATAAACAACATAAAGAATAGAGAATAATGAGTAAAACAAATAAAGAAAAGGGAATACATAGGCCAAACTAATAAAGCAGAGCGAATGGTGTGAGACTGATATATTAAGTATAGAGAATAATGGGGCAAACAAATATAGAATGAATAATAATAATGGACCAAAACTTAATTTTTTGAAAATAATGGGCCAAATAAATTAAGAGTAGAGAATAAAGGACAAACAAATAAAGCAGAGGAATAATTGGCTAAACAAATGAAAAATAGAGAATAATGGACAAACAAATAAAGCAGAGGAATAATTGGCTAAACAAATGAAAAATAGAGAATAATGGACAAACAAATAAAGCAGAGGAATAATTGGCAAAACAAATGAAATATAGAGAATAATGGACAAACAAATAAAACAGAGGAATAATTGGCTAAACAAATAACAAATGAAAAATAGAGAATAATGGACAAACAAATAAAGCAGAGGAATAATTGGCTAAACAAATGAAAAATAGAGAATAATGGACAAACAAATAAAGCAGAGGAATAATTGGCTAAACAAATGAAAAATAGAGAATAATGGACAAACAAATAAAGCAGAGGAATAATTGGCTAAACAAATGAAAAATAAAGAAAAATGGACAAACAAATTAAGAGTAGAGAATAATGGACAAACAAATTAAGATTACAGAAAAATGGACAAACAAATTAAGCGTACAGAATAATGGACAAACAAATTAAGAGTACAGAATAACGGACAAACAAATTAAGAGTAGAGCATAATGGACAAACAAATTAAGAGTAGAGAATAATGGACAAACAAATTAAGAGAAGAGAATAACGGACAACCAAATTAAGAGTATAAAATAATGGACAAACAAATTAAGAGTAGAGAATAATGGACAAACAAATAAAGTATAGAGAATGATAGACAAACAAATAAAGTATAGAGAATGATGGACAAACAAATAAAGTATAGAGAATGATGGAAAAACAAATAAAGTATAGAGAATGATGGACAAACAAATAAAGTATAGAGAATAATGGACAAACAAATTAAGAGTAGAGAATAATGGACAAACAAATTAAGAGTAGAGAATAATGGACAAACAAATAAAGCAGAGGAATAATTGGCAAAACAAATGAAAAATAGAGAATAATGGACAAACAAATAAAGCAGAGGAACAATTGGCTAAACAAATGAAAAATAGAGAATAATGGACAAACAAATAAAGCAGAGGAACAATTGGCTAAACAAATAAAAAATAGAGAATAATGAACAAACAAATAAAGCAGAGGAATAATTGGCTAAACAAATGAAAAATAGAGAATAATGGACAAACAAATAAAGTATGGAGAATAATGGACAAACAAATAAAGTATAGAGAATAATGGACAAACAAATTAAGAGTAGAGAATAATGGACAAACAAATTTAGAGTAGAGAATAATGGACAAACAAATTAAGAGTAGAGAATAATTGGCTAAACAAATTAAGAGTATAAAATAAAGGACAAACAAATTAAGAGTAGAGAATAATGGACAAACAAATAAAATATAGAGAATGACGGACAAACAAATAAAGTATAGAGAATGATGGACAAACAAATAAAGTATAGAGAATGATGGAAAAACAAATAAAGTATAGAGAATGATGGACAAACAAATAAAGTATAGAGAATAATGGACAAACAAATTAAGAGTAGAGAACAATGGACAAACAAATTAAGAGTAGAGAATAATGGACAAACAAATTAAGAGTAGAGAATAATGGACAAACAAATTAAGAGTATAAAATATTGGACAAACAAATTAAGAGTAGAGAATAATGGACAAACAAATAAAGTATAGAGAATGATGGACAAACAAATAAAGTATAGAGAATAATGGACAAACAAATTAAGAGTAGAGAATAATGGACAAACATATTAAGAGTAGAGAATAATGGACAAACAAATAAAGCAGAGGAATAATTGGCAAAACAAATGAAAAATAGAGAATAATAGACAAACAAATAAAGCAGAGGAACAATTGGCTAAACAAATGAAAAATAGAGAATAATGGACAAACAAATAAAGCAGAGGAACAATTGGCTAAACAAATAAAAAATAGAGAATAATGGACAAACAAATAAAGCAGAGGAATAATTGGCTAAACAAATGAAAAATAGAGAATAATGGACAAAAAAATAAAGTATAGAGAATAATGGACAAACAAATAAAGTATAGAGAATAATGGACAAACAAATTAAGAGTAGAGAATAATGGACAAACAAATTTAGAGTAGAGAATAATGGACAAACAAATTAAGAGTAGAGAATAATTGGCTAAACAAATTAAGAGTATAAAATAAAGGACAAACAAATTAAGAGTAGAGAATAATGGACAAACAAATAAAGTATAGAGAATGACCGACAAAAAATTAAGTAAAGAGAATGATGGACAAACAAATAAAGTATAGAAAATGATGGAAAAACAAATAAAGTATAGAGAATGATGGACAAACAAATAAAGTATAGAGAATAATGGACAAACAAATTAAGAGTAGAGAATAATGGACAAACAAATTAAGAGTAGAGAATAATGGACAAACAAATAAAGCAGAGGAATAATTGGCAAAACAAATGAAAAATAGAGAATAATGGACAAACAAATAAAGCAGAGGAACAATTGGCTAAACAAATGAAAAATAGAGAATAATGGACAAACAAATAAAGCAGAGGAACAATTGGCTAAACAAATAAAAAATAGAGAATAATGGACAAACAAATAAAGCAGAAGAATAATTGGCTAAACAAATGAAAAATAGAGAATAATGGACAAAAAAATAAAGTATAGAGAATAATGGACAAACAAATAAAGTATAGAGAATAATGGACAAACAAATTAAGAGTAGAGAATAATGGACAAACAAATTTAGAGTAGAGAATAATGGACAAACAAATTAAGAGTAGAGAATAATTGGCTAAACAAATTAAGAGTATAAAATAAAGGACAAACAAATTAAGAGTAGAGAATAATGGACAAACAAATAAAGTATAGAGAATGACCGACAAACAAATAAAGTAAAGAGAATGATGGACAAACAAATAAAGTATAGAAAATGATGGAAAAACAAATAAAGTATAGAGAATGATGGACAAACAAATAAAGTATAGAGAATAATGGACAAACAAATTAAGAGTAGAGAATAATGGACAAACAAATTAAGAGTAGAGAATAATGGACAAACAAATTAAGAGTATAAAATAATGGACAAACAAATTAAGAGTAGAGAATAATGGACAAACAAATAAAGTATAGAGAATGATGGACAAACAATTAAAGCAGTGGAATAATTGGCTAAACAAATGAAAAATAGAGAATAATAAACCAAACAAAAAATAGATATACAATAATAAGACAAACAATTAACGCAGATCGAAAAATGTCAGGCTGATGTATAAAGTTAGAAGAATAATGAGCCATACAAATAAAGCTAGGAGAATAATGAGCCAAACAAATAAAGTATAGAGAATGATTGGCCAGACAAATAAAGTATAGAGAATGATTGGCCAAACAAATAAAGTATACAAATCAAGTATAGAGAATGATTGGCCAAACAAATAAAGTTAAAGAATGATGAGCCAAACAAATAAAGTATAGAGAATGATTGGCCAAACAAATAAAGTATAGAGAATGATGAGCCAAACAAATAAAGTATAGAGAATGATGAGTCAAACGAATAAAGCAGAGAGAATTATCACCCAAACAAATAAA